AGTCCAGTAGAGAAAGTGAAAGAAATCATGAGATTAGCAGAGAGTTCTGCAAAAGCCAAGAGGGGAATGTGAGATGAGGCAGGCTCACTGATATTCAGACATTCAGATCCAATTAGTGTGTGAGGGTGTATGAGAGTTTTTACTGAAATCAGTGACAGTTTTCATGTGTTTTGTACTTCTATGCATTTTCCGTTACCACAGGGCAATAGATAAATCAGATTATTTTGCATTGAAAAGAGTGAAGAAAGTTTTTTAGCCACAGAAGGAGGCCATCCAGTGACTTTTCCATTTTTGAGACAAACATGGATAAATCTGTAGCTCAGAAATGCCAGGATATAGAAGAGTACACTGAAACTTACTGAAATTGACTTTGGCAGCTGGCCGTTGTGACACACATCACGCAGGGGTGACCCAAACAGTGGTGCTTGTTTAGAAGTGGGCAAAGTAGGTGTTGGTGCCACCTTGTTGTGCTTGTTGCCAAAGACACGCTGAGAAAACCACTTTTTAATGGAATGTTTCTTTCGAGCAGGCTTCAGATGAGAATGTGAGGAAGATGTGAGATGGTTAGATGTAGTGTTCAACTCATGGAATCCCATTTCCACATTTTCTGGATGACTGCATGCTTCTGGAAATGGATAGGAAAAAATATCAATGAATCAGTCAATGTGAAGAAAGCTCTACAGACTAAAATCAGTTCAAAGCTCTGGGTGGAGTGAATGTGCTCTTCTCCCTGCCTTTCAGGAACTGGTATTGAAACCAGGAGTTGAACAGCCACGGTTTGTTGCACTGCATTAACAGGTGCTTAGTTACCAAGGTGCAGCCATCCTTATTATAACTGCAATCAGTAGGTTCATGGGTAAGATAATTTCTTAGATTAAAAGGCACTATGTGTTCAAATGACATTGAATTTCCTAATCACAGGCATTCATATTCAGTCTCCTCCAAATCTTCCATTAAAATGAATTGAAACAACAGTTACAACTCAAGGACCTGGAGAGCTGCCACATTGGCAGAAGGTTTGGATTAAGCCACTTCTGCAATTTTGTCTAGCCCAGCATCATAACCTGTAGCCATTTTAAATGCGATCCAGCAGCCCAGATCTCCATTCAAGTGCCTGTCTACTATTGTACCCTTCTCATGCTTACTTATGTATTCGAAGTGCAAAGTGAGACAGAGGAGAGAGGCAGAAAATAAGGACTATATGATTTTCCAGCTATTGATTCAAATTACCAATGACTACTACAATAAGATTTAGCCAAATAAAGCAAGGCACATGGAAATCCACCATCATCTCCAACAGGTCTAGAAGATGCTGAAACACCTGTCTTATCTTCTGCTGGCTTACTATCCGTATTATGTCCCAGATGCTCTACTTCGGATCCAGCACCACGTTTATGTCCTGTGATATTGGTGAGGGGTAGTTCAAGTCCTTGGGCCCCTTGGGCCATTTGACATGCAGACATGTATTTTCAAGAAATTGCCTGGAGACATTGTTTCAAACAAGTTGAAACCCACTATGTACTCAAACACTTGCAATGTCCAGGACAAAACTGTAAACCAGCTCAGGTGTTCTATGTGCATGGCAGGAAGCATTTAATCAAAGAATCACATGCTACCTTCCCGTGTATGTAGTAGTAGTAGGAAGCTGGAATTAGAAGCAGAGCAGAACTAGAATCCAAGCGCTCTGTGAGATGAGGTGTGAAAACAGGTAAATTAAATGCTAGGCCAAATGCTTTGGCAAGACAATGCTTTTGTGGTCACTGAAAATTTCATCTGGAGCTCTTTTCTTCCAATATGATTTTTAATATCACTTCAATCACTTAGATTTCACATATTTAGATAAATTCAGTAAAACTCAGGTTAAAGAATTCAAAGACCAGTACATCTTGATTTTCAAAATTGGAAAGTCCTTAAGAGAATTCTGAGGGTTTAAACACTTGATATAAAAAATCTAATGTTCATAATAAGGGTAAGGGATATATTATCTTTATAAGAATCATAGGTGAGTGAGACTTCAAGTTTAATTTTGATTTGCTTTTCAGCTGAAATTATCTTCATAATTTAAAAATACTAGAAGAGAAAGTCTTGACACATTCTTGCCATTATTGATGATGTGCCTCTAGTGCAGTTTTTTACTAATAATTTTACAACAAGCATAGTTAAGAATTTTTACACATCCCTGTCATGCAGGTAAGGGACATAGCAATTGGGGAATGTAGAGTACTGGCCCCAGGGTGCCTTGCTTGCAAATGAAATATCTGAATCAAAAATTGAGGTGATTCCATTTGGGGAGAAATCTATTAATATAATCCCCCATGCATTGTTGCTGCTCCCTATACATTATCCCTTTGTTTTTATTCATTTTGTTGTGTATGTGTTATAAAATTGTCCTGTGCAAAAATTATTTGAAATCCTACAAGCATTTTACCATTGAAAAATCCTTTTTTTTTTTCAAAAATTAGCTTAGGAAAGCACATCTGCCACAATTCAAAAGTCAAACAATACAGACATTTAAAATTCCTACTTTGAATGTGATCTCTATTATCTGTAGAATGTTTCCATCCTTGTATATTGGCATTCATTGTCCTCTAATAAATGAGCAGTCTTCAACAAGTTCATGGAAAATGCATATTATGAAAAGTTGTGCACAATTTTCAAACTTGGCACCCAAATAAGCGTATTTGTATTATGTTTTTCATTTTTAGTTTGAAGTAACTTCTGTATGTGGATGTTTAAAAATCAATTTCTTAAGTCCTGTTGGAACAAAATTGTAAAGAAAATGTGTTGTCTTACACCTTTTGTTTAAATTTGATGGCAAACTTTGTGATTGTTTTTCAGACTAGTTTGTAGGATATATCTAGTTGTCTTAATTGTGAATAGAATTATTTTGAAAATTTTCAGTTATTTGAAAGAGAGAGATTGCTGCCCTCAGCTGGTTCACTCCCCAAGTGCTGGCTATGTCAGAGCTGCCCCGAGCTGGGAACAGGGATGGCAGGGAGCCATGGATTGGAGCATGACTGGCTGCCTGCCAGAGGGCACATTAGCAAGAAGCTGGAATTAGGCCTGCCGCAGGAGCACAGCCCAGTTACTCTGCTTTGGGTGCACATAGCAAATGGCACTTTAACTGCTGTGTCAAATGCCTACCACTGCTCCTACCCCCACATTAGCCAAATACATACATATTTGTCATGCTATTGGAGGTCTTTTCCATGCATGTACCGTGTCTGTTATACTCACAATCACTATGTCAATCAAAACAAATTCAGCAAAACAAAGAGAAAGCTTGCACCTGGAGGCAGCAGTGAAAGATCCAGAACCTGGGCCTGCCACCCCCTGCAAAACCTGACCTGAAACTTTACTGCTGGGGCCATCTGGGGAGTGAACCAGCAGACTGAGTTCCATGTAGATATGCCTGTTTCTGTTTTTTAAAAAAATCAAAACACATTTTTATGAAAAATAAAAACTGAGATGGCATGCCTTCAGGTACATTGAGTCTAATCTTCTAAGTTAGTCCCTAGTGCCAGAGGATGCCTTGCCCTTCAGGCTCAGCCCACAGACCCTGTGTGTGTGGACCTTGCTAGTGCCTTTGTGACTGATCTGTGGTGACCTGTCTCCTGCCACCCTGGGACAAACCTTCACTCCTGCCCAGGCCCAGGGGAGTCCTGGGGAGACATGACATCTAGATCATGCCTGTTTGGGCCTTGGGGGATGGGGAAAGTTGGCTACTCACACAGGGATGGACCTGTATCAGCCCAGAACAGGGTGCTGCCCCTGGCCAGTGTGGGAGCTCCCCCACAGGACCAGTCACCAAGCCAGTGGTTTCAGCACCCCCACTGTTTGCTCTCTGCAGACTTTTCTCAGACTCCATGCCTCCTTCTCCACGTTGGGTCAACAGTTCCATTCCTACAGCATCCTCATGTTTCCCGCCAGAGTGGCGTTACTCAGGAAGACCGATAAAGCCATCTGCCCCATGAGGCCACCCACATCACAGGTTCATTGCTGACCCACCCTCACCTTCCTCTGACAGAGAGCACAGAAGCACCCCAGCCCTGTTGCACTTCAGGCTGGTTCCTCGGCAACCCAGTCTGGGCTAGGAATGGTGAGGGCTCCCAGGAAGGTCAGGAGCAGCCGTTGCCATGGAATAGTGACAGCCGTCAGTTGCCACAGTGCCAGCGGGTCCAGGGGTCAGCACCCAGAGGTTTGTGCTGTTTGAACACACAGGCTGTACTGCCAGGAGGAGCCCAGCTACCCAAGCAGCTGGCTCAGACTCCTGCCCAGTCCTGGACAGCCACGTCTCTCCCTCAGGACTGGGGAGAGGAAGCCTGAAGACAGTGCAGCCCGCTCGCTCGCTGCTCCTAGCTGCTTCTTTTTCACAAAGGAGGAGAGAGCAGCCAGCAGTTCCACTTGAGCATCAGGGATGTCATCTCTCAGGCCGGGAACCTGTGTAGGAACACTAAGCCAGCGAGAAGTATGGTCATCTCCTGATTTCTAGGGAGATTGCTTCATGGACTCAGTGAGGATGTCAAAGGTATGGATCCTCCTAACACTAACCCTAACCCTAACCTGAACCCCTAATCCTAAACCCAAACTTAAGCCAAACCTGAACCTGAAACCTAACCCCAACCCTAAACCTAACCCATACCCTAATTTGTACCTGTACCCTAAACAATACCCTAAGCAGTACCCTGATCCTAACCCCAACCCTAACGCAAACACATAACCTCAACATGGACCCCTAACTTTAAACCGAACTAGAACCCAAAACCTAACCTTTTCCATAACTCTAACCCTAACACTGACCCTAACACTAACCCATACACTAACCCTAACCATAACCACTAAACCTAATCCTAGCCCTAACCCTAACACTAACCCATACACTAACCCTAACCCTAACCACTAAGCCTAATCCTAGCCCTAACCCTAACCAAAATCCGTACTGTAACCCTAACCCGTACCCTTACCAGTACCCTAATCCTAACCCATTTCCTTACCTGTAGCCCAAGCTGTACCCTAACCCTAACCCTGAAGTACTGCGCATGCTCAATAAGACAAATAAATGTGGACGATGCATGTGCAGTGAAGGGAAGAAACTGCACCTGTGCGAAATTCTAAACCTGCGGGAATACCGCACTCCTCCCGGCACAAAGGCTCCTTCCAGCGGAGTGCGGATGGGGGATGGACACTTGCGTTCCTCCTCTTCCTGCCTTTTTCTTTCTCCTTCTGGCTATGGCGGCCTCCATGAGTGATGGAGTGTGTTGCCTTTGGAGCGGCGGGGAACCTAGCCGCATGTTTTATGTTTTCCTGTTTCTTCTCTGTGTTGTTGTTTGTGGTACTCTTTGGGGTTGCTATTTTTGTGTTCTTCTTTGTGCCCGCCACAGAGCAAGATGGGAAGAGAGGACACAATCCGGGAACAAAGAAGCTAGGTAAGGCCGGCAGGCCAGGCAGGGGATGGGGCAGGACGAGAAAGGCCCAGAAAGGCCTGGGAGGCCGAGAAAGGACCAGAAAGGACCAGAAAGGCCTGGGGAGGCCGAGGAAGGACCAGAAAGGACCGGAAAGGTCGGGAGAGGCCGGGGAAGGACCAGAAAGGCCATAGGAGGCCAGTGAAGGACAGGGAATGATGGGGAAGGACAGGGAAGGCCGAAAAGGCTGGGAAAGGACTGGGAAGGACCGGCGAGAACAGGGGAGGAAGGGCAAGGACAGGGAAGGCCGGGAAAAGCTGGGCAAGGATGGACAAGGACAGGGAAGGCTTGGCAAGGGAAGCGGAGGACGGGGAAGGCTGGACAAGGCTGGACGGGCGAGGCTAGGGAAGGACCAGCAAGGTTAGGGAGGAAGGGCAATGACGGGCGAGGATGGGAAAGGCTTTGCAAGGCCAGCGGAGGATGGGGAAGGACGGTGGAGGATGCGGATGGCACAGAGAACGGGCGAGTACGGGGAAGGAAGGTGGAGGACAGGCGAGGCTGGTCTTGCAGTGGGCAGAGGAACTGGAGGGGGAAAAAATGCACAGAAGAAACGGTGGCTCCTCAGTGGCTTCAGTCAGCTGGACCATGCACGTTTTCGGTGGCGGGAAATTTTCAAAGATATCAAATTGTGCATTTGCTTTATATCTGTGAAATGACCAAATTGCTTATTGGCATTAAGCGCTTTGTGTAGGAGGAGAGAGAGGGAGGGTCACAGAAGGCTTCATGAATGCCTTTCTGTGGCACAGACAGAGCTGAGGTCCTACTTTCCCCAGGAGTGCGAAGCCATCCTATGGAAACATACCATGCTACGTTGAAAGACCCAAGGGGACTGGGTCCCGCTCTGGGCTTGGGGCCCTCCGACGGAGACACCAGGCAGGAGACCAATAGATGTAAACACACGAGGCAAGTTTATTTTCACACGGGCCCGTGGACGTCCTCGTTCTTTCCGAACAAAGGAGCGCGCCTAGGCCGAAAAGTAAGGCACTTTTATAGGGTTTCAAAAGCAGGAAGCAGGTTACAGAAGCAGATGCATAGTTACAGGGTTTTCATTGGTACAGTCAAATTAAGCAAGGCTTATCTTAAAAAAATAGTTATTGCTTTAAACATATTGCTTCCAACACTTTCTGAGAAATAGAAACTTCTCTTGTGAACTTCTCTTTTCTAAGTATTTTGAAAAGTACTTGACACTCTTAGTTCTTAACACCTGTTCTGTTTGTTCAGAGCTGCTAACCCGCAAGTATTCTGTTATTGTCTAAGTTCTAAAACCGGGTGGGGGTCTTTCAACGTAAACCTAGGAGGAGGAGGTGGAGGGCCACGAGGAGGAGGACAAGGAGCAGTAGGAGGAGGACCCCGAGGAGGAGGAGGAGGAAGAGGAGGAGACAGAGACATCCAAGAAACTGCTGTTTGACGCTGGTGGAGTAAGTCAATAACTAAAGAAAGAATTCCTGGCTGAGACTCATTGAGGCACTCTCCAAGAGCCACTGCACACCGCTCATAAATAGATGATGAGTGAAGTCCCTGCTTGCAGACTGAATGTGTGTAGGAAGAGGGAGAGGGGAGAGTTAACAGAACACCTCCTGAATCCTAAGAAATGAATGCTAAACTCCTGAATGCTTGATTCATGACTTTGCTGTGGGAAATACAGCCAAGGCCTTATTAACAATGATGCGCTTTCTCTCCAGTTATGTGGAGCCTTCATTTGTCCACATGAGAAGAGGAAGTGACATCAGAGCAAGTGATCTCATCAGACTGAACCAACCATCCATCCATCCATCCATCCATCCATCCATCCATCCATCCATCCATCCATGTGTTAATAAATCTCTGTGTGTGAGAATCTGACAAGTCTGGAGTCTTTCTTCCCTCCCACCTCACAATGAAGATTCCTCACAGCTGTCCACTTAACTACACTCACCTCACACAGAGAAACTGAGGCTGCCAGGCTGTCCAGTGAGTCCCAGAGCTTAGAATAGCATTGCCTATCCATGTCTCTGGGATGCTGTATCCCAGAGCAAGGCAACTGTCTGCCAGAGTGTCTATGTGCATCAGTGTGTGTGTGTGTGTGTGTGTGTGTGTGTGCACCCAGCTTCCCCTAGCTGGTGCGCTCTGACTGTGTAAACACAGGCACACACATGCTCACACACTCACAGGTCCTGGGTTCAGGAACTCTCTCCTGCAAGGGCAGGCCTCTTCCTGCCTAGGCCAGTGTTGAGGGGTCAAGGGGGACTGGCCCCCGGTTAAGGTGCTAGGTATGTGTTTCTGGAGGGGTGGTTAACCCTTCCTCAGCTGGAAGCTGCTGGCTAGGGCTTTTCCCAAGTTGTCTATGGGGTCTGCTTTTCTTTCTTCCAAGAAGGCACAGAATGAGTCATTAGTTCCCTCCCTTCCTTCCCACTCCATCTGCCATGATCCTCATTCTAAAATTAGATTTTCCCCTTCCCTCTCATCAGGCCTTCCAATGTACCAGGGATTCTCAGGGAAATTGGCAGTGTGATGAGACCCAGTGTGAGGAAGAGGGGAGGACGGGACAAGCAAGTCGGGGGAGCAGGCTGCTGTCCATTCCTGTTTTGCACAGATGGCTATGAGCATCCCTACCCCACCCTGTGGGATGAAAAAGTGTAATTCTTGTTAATCACCTTTGCCTACATGCCATACAAGAAACTTCAGAGATGCGTCTATGCAGGGAAGAAACTGGGTCCCTCTGGAGACTACGTTCTGGCTCCTGGCCAGTTCTGTACAATGAAAACGTTGAATATTTGAATTCCCAGACTCTATTTAGCAAGTTTCTAAATAAATAAACTCACTGAGTGTCTGTGTTTAAAATTATTTCACCTCTCTCATAAAAGCTATAGCATCTTATTACATTGGACTTGCAAGTTGATTTTTTAAAAAATAAGCGAACAAACAGAGCTGAAGGCATTTTAGTAGCCAGATTTCCACACATGTGTACATATTGCAAAGTCATTCTCCCGTGTGTGGCTGGGTGCGAGAACCCTGGGCTATTCAGTGTGGCCTTATAATGAATGGTATTATTTTTTAAAAAAATACAACAAGAAAGTCAGTGAAATATTAACCACATTGAAAGGAAAGCTTGACTCCAACTTAAGGGCCTTTATATAGTTGATAATTTTGTCTGCTGCATCTCTCAGGAGCCAGGAGAGTTTCATGGCTAAGTCCTAGAGGGACATTTGTGTACAGACGAAAGGGGCAGGTACAGAATTCTGCCAGACAGAATTTTGTTTCTGGGCATTTCCTGTCCCCACCCCCACTCTCCCTGCTGTATCTGTGTCTATATATACAATTGGGAAGGAGTAAATACACGATATTGTCCTCATATTTCGATTTGGTGAAAAAGTCCGTGTGTCCTATGGTGATACCAGTTTCTCAACATTTTAACGTTTGTGTTTTTATGTGAATAGGAGCAGTTATTCGAAGAAGTACATATTTAATTTAAAAATAAGGCAAGTTCTAGTTCTCTGGAAAGCATGAACCCCATCTGGAATTAGAAAAGAAAGTGGAATTTAGTCTCATTAATGTGTAGAAAGTGTGTTATTTAAAAGAATGCGGTTTGAAAGGGCACAAAGTAAAACCCGTAACATTTCACTGGAAAGTGGAGAGCACAAAGCCAAAAAAAAAAAGAACCACCAACTTATGCAAATCCTAAAATAGATTACAATCACCTCAGTCACTTTGATTTTCAAAAGTAATAGCTATGATTAAAGTGTGGAGGGGAGTGGTTACTTGGAATCATACTCTTGCCTTATTATAAAAATTGTTTTGAGGTTAGAGAACTGCTTCATTATAGATAAAAAAAATGCAAGTAAATTGTTAATTAAATGCCTGGCTCTTCAAAAGTGTTCATTCTTAAATTACTAATCTTTGATATTTGGTATTGTTCTTACTCATTAGCAAATGTGTTTCAACTTGTACATTCAGGCAATCCTTTCTGCCAACTTCTGTAATAATTCTGAGGCAGATTTTTTTTTAAAGATTTATTTTTATTATTTTTTCATTGGAAAGGTGGATATACAGAGAGGAGAGACAGAGAGGAAGATCTTGCGTCCGATGATTCACTCCCCAAGTGAGCGCAACGGGCCGATACTATGCCGATCCGAAGCCAGGAGCCTCTTCCAGGTCTCCCACATGGGTGCAGAGTCCCAAAGCTTTGGGCCATCCTCGACTGCTTTCCCGGGCCACAGGCAGGGAGCTGGAAGGGAAGCGGGGCTGCCGGGATAGAACCGGCGCCCATATGGGATCCTGGGCGTGCAAGGTGAGGACCTTTAACCACTTGCTCCACCGTGCCGGGCCCCCTGAGGCAGATTTTTATTAATTCTTTCAGTAAAGGCCTGCCTGGGGGTCAATGACCTGTGACAGGAAGAGCAGCAGCTCCCTTAACTGTACTCAAGAACCTGCCTTGTTCAAATGACAACTCAGGGAAGTCTTTGGAGGTAGCACTTTTAGGGCTTCGGGCATGGCAGGCTTATAACACGAGTGTCAATGAAGTACTACTGTGATTAGGCATGGACAGAGTACATTCCCTGCTCTGAATATGCACGTCAGAATTTGAATGTGAATCCATGATCACTGATTAAATAGGCATCTTCAAGTGCCTGAATGCCTCTGGTCTCCATATCTCTGCTTGTGAACTGGAAGTAATAATACTTCCCTCCTTTTGTTGCTGTTCGGGTTAATCTGGGAAAGATGTGCAAAGCAACTAAGTCACATGCAATCACTCAATAAACCTTAGTCACTTCCCTTATGATTTATCAGTTAAATTTTTTGAAGAGGAA